GGGTGCCTAACCATATTAGTTTTCTTAATGAAATTATCAAGAAAAAAATCATGTAAGTGTAAAATAGTCATTTTAGGTGTGTGGATCTATCTTGGTGATCATGTTTGTGTTGTCTTTTGCTGTATTTTTTGCCTTATAATTGGATGTTTCAATTTTTTGGATTTATCTATTTTGGGTTAAATGCAAGAAATAATAATTTCATAGTAGTGTTACTGGTATGTGTGTGTGACTGAACAAAATGGCTTAAATTAAGTAAATTGAGATGCATGATTTATGATAATGATTTTTTTACTTGTATTACTGATAAACATGTGCAATTGTTGAACATATTGATGTTCTTTTGGGTTGTGTTAAAGAAGAAATATAGAATAATATCACCAAAGGGTTTATGGACAAAATAAAGATACAAAAGAAGAAAATAATGACTATCAAAGTAGTTAAAGTTGTTGATTTTGTTGATTCTTTTAAGTCACCAAAGGGAATATGTTTGCATAACTACTATGATTCAAAGAAGTATATCAATTTATTCTATAATCAATAATTCTTGAAGTTTGATTGTTCGGATGGTTAATTTTCGTTTTCGAATCATGTAAATTTATGCATCTGATGTGCACTATGTTTCCTTTAGTTTTTTTCATTATTTTAAGACAAATATTCAAAAATGGTCCTAATGGTTTCCAAGAATATCAAGTTCAGTCTCTATTTTTTTAATTGTTAGGAAGTAAAGTGGATAACTAGCAAAGCTATGCACACAAGACACAATATTTATGTGGTTCGGTCAAGGTGACCTACGTCCATGGGAAGGATGGGAGTATTCTTTTAATTCATAGCTCTCAAACAGAGGTTACAAGTACAATTACACAAAGATTCGTCTATAATTCTAGAATTCCAGATACAAAATGACTTAACATGCATCCCTATTTATATTTGAGGGATCAAACCTAAAACCCTAATGGGCCAAGCCCATTGGACCATAGGCCCATGAAAGGTGTCAACCAATCACAATCTGCTATGCAATATCTTCTGGAACATTCTTCCATGTCATACAACCCATGAGCATAAGCAACACACATGATGGATCACCTTGTGCCATAGTGGAGCATCATGATGTATAAGTGGTGCATCATGAACACTAATGGCCCAACATCCATCATGGTGGCACAACTTGGTGTAATCCTTAAGCAATACCAACTTCTAAGCATCCTTGAACGATCTTGAGCATCATAGAAGACTTCATAGCATACTTAGCTCATCAAGGACCAAGATGGTCCATCTTGCACCATCATGGTGCAACAGGAATATGGATGGCACAAGTGACTTCAAGTATGGCACAAGAACATCCAGATTTTAGCAACAACATCACCATGGCGCAAAAGGAACATGCATGACGCAACAAGGCCATGCATGGCGCAAGAGCATTCCTTATGGCGCAAGAGGAGTACCCCTTAGCGCAAGAGGGATCCTCATGGCGCAAGAGGAACCCCTCAGGGTGCAAGAGGGAGAATTATGGTGCAAGAAGGAATGTCATGGTGCAATAGCATCCTTCTTGGCCCATACCTTTAACATATGGCGCAAAAAGGTCCCCTTGTTACTCCATATCACTCCCAAGTACTCCAAACCTCTTCCAGGTCGCAAGAGGAACCCCTCAGGGCGCAAGAGGAACCCCTCATGGCGCAAGAGGAACCCCTCAGGGCGCAAGAGGGAGAATTATGGTGCAAGAAGGAATGTAATGGCGCAATAGCATCCTTCTTGGCCCATACCTTTAACATATGGCGCAACAAGGTCCCCTTGTTACTCCATATCACTCCCAAGTGCTCCAAACCTCTTCCAGGTCCTCCAAACCCCCTTATGTATGATCTGTTCCTATGGTACTTGATCCGTTCCTTTGTCAGACAATCCATTACTTTCTCAGATGATCTGTTCCTTTGTCACATGCTCCATGAACCTCAAGTGCTCCATTGAGTTCCAAGTGCTCAATGTAACACCCCAACTCCCAGGTATAAGATTTAAAGCATTATGTACATGTTTATGGACCTACTCGATGAGTTGGTTGCCCCAACTCGTCGTGTAGAGGCGGGATATCCCGCGTGGATTATTCGACCCACTCGACGAGTCGGAGGACCTAGACTCGACGAGTAGGAGCTGGAAAATGAAACCCTAATTTTTATGGTTTGCACCCTATTTAAAGGACCTTAAGTCCTTACCTCCAGTCCCTTACCACCTCTTGACGGCCAGAAGAAACCCTAATCGCTATTAATCTTATTCTTGAGTGTTTGTGAGGCTTAAAGAGTGATTTTGGTGTGATTTGTGAAGAAGGTGTGAAGTACAAGAAGCTTGGAGCAAAGAGGAGCTTGTGGATCTGACTCTACTTCTTCTTGGCATCATTTTGAAGGTAACAAGTCGTTACCTTGACTTATCTTTAGCTAGATCTTTTCATGTTTAGGTTTAGGGCCATCTTTAGCATTTTTGGGAGTCATTTCGTGTATTGGGTATGATCTGAAGTTGTAACTTTAGATCTGGACTCCTCTTGGTCCCTATAGCCATAAAGTTAACTGATTTATCAAGCTTGGGTCTCTCTCTTTGGGTTAAACCTTTCCCTTAGTTTGGTTTTGGCATTTAGGACCATGCATGCACGTAAAGATTGCAACTTTACATGGAAACCATGCCCTAGGAGGTTAGATCTGCATTTTTGGGCTTTGGGGTGGCTTAAAACCGTCTATATAAGAAAAAGACTGAAGGGACTCGACGAGTGCATGAGTCAACTCAACGAGTCGAAAGAGGGTTTCCCGTTTTTGGTTTCTGCATGGACTCGGCGAGTCGGTGAGACGACTCGACGAGTCAGTTAGGGTTTTCCCGACATTGGACACGCATGGACTCGACGAGTTGTTAGGAAACTCGGCGAGTCAACTGGGGTTTTCAAGATTTCTCGAGTTCTGGAAGGACTCGACGAGTCAGTAAGCTACACTCAACGAGTTGGGTCAACATGGACTGTTGACCTTGACCGTTGACTTTGACTTTGACCAAGGGTTGACCGGTTTGACTTATGGGGGTATTTTAGTAAATTGGAAATTTATGGAAGTGGTCTTATGGTAAATATAGGTGGTGGAGTTCGTGGCTGTGATTCGAGAGTTTAATCTTATCACTTCAGTTCGACATTTGTGAGGTGAGTTTTCCTTACTATACTCAAGGGTCGAAGGCACCAAGGCCGACCCTTTTGGATTGTTATCCTGATATGTTATGCTAGTATGATCCGTTAGATCAGTATCCTGGTAGATAGGATGATGTTATATTGTTATGATCTGTTAGGTCGGTTTGTATGTCTATGGACTGTTATGTGATTATCTGATATATGTGCACATGTTTGATTGGTGGTTGAGGCTTATCTGCTTTGTGCGAAAGCCAATAGACCTGGGCATTCCAACCCGATGGTTGTGGGTCGTGAGTATTCCATCCCGAGGATGATTGGACTCGTAGTATGTGGGCATTCTAACCTGATGGTTGTGGGCCTGGGGTATTCCATCCCGATGATGATTGGACCCATAGTATATTGGCATTCCAACCCGATGGTTGAGAGCCTGGGGTATTCCAACCCGATGGTTGACTGGACCCATAGCATGCTGTTTGTGATTACATGTATATTGTTGTGTGTATGAGTATTTTGGAGGAACTCACTAAGCTTCGGGCTTACAGTTTCAGTTTTGGTTTCAGGTACATCAGATGATCGCGGGAAGGCGAAGGCATGATCGTACAACTCCTTACTTTTTATGATTTTGATTTCTGGGATACTCTGACATGGAACTATTTTGAAAACACTTTGTAATAATTAATGGTTTAAATTGTTTGAAAAAGTTTTAATTGGCTCAAATTTTATGGATGTTACGCTCAAAATGCTCCATGAACATGATCCAAATGCTCGAGTCACATTTAACAATCTCCACCTTGACTTGAGAATCCTGTGAAGTCCACCTCGAACAAGAACTTCCTCTCCCTTCCTGTCATTCGTCCTCGAAGGGACCTACCTCCTCTGAACATCAACCAAGTCCCAGCAAAGCTTGAACTTCTCCGTGGGTAACGACTTTGTCAACAAATCTGCTGGGTCGGGCTTATTATACTTGTATTGTATGATTATGGATATTAACCATATACAAGCACTAAAGCACTCCTTTGAAGGCCAACATAGGCAAAACATATCTCAAAGTACTAAGGAGTCAAAGTGGTAAGACCTCGTTTGATAGACATATTTTCAGTTACAAACAAATCTTTCTGGTTGAATGGATCAGGAAGACTATTTGATTTGCACAAAAAAAAAAGTTTTTCCTGGTAAAATATGTATTTCCCAAAAAGCCACAAAACCATATATTTCTGGCTGAATGAGCCGGAAAGACAATTGTGCCCCAAACTTTGTCTCTTTCTTTTTTAGATTATTAATTTTTTTAATTTCTTTTTATTGGATTATTATTTTTTATTGGATTATTATCTATTAATAAATATTATTTATATTATATAATATTTATATATTAATAAATATTACTTTATTGTATTATTAATTTCTTTTAGTTATATTTTTTAATTTATTTTTATTGGATTAATTTTTTTTTGAAGAAAAACACCATCTTAATTTATTTTAATTTATTTTAAAAAAGAGACAATGTTAGTTTGAGAAATAGCAATCCTTGGACATGATTTGATTTATTTACTATTGTTTATAAGTTGATCTCTTTTACTTTTTTTGGTATACATTGTACGTTTGAGCGTTGTTTCCATATATGAAGTAAATTAGACATCCTCACGTGCATGTAACTTATTTTCCTTTTATATAAAAAGAATGTGGATACAAATTTTTTTTAGTTTTCTTAACATCTTTCGATATATATTTTTCAAACTTAGTTAAATTAAATAAAATAAATTAAAAACTACCCTTTTAAATTTACACATCTTGTTACCCCCAATCTCCACCGTCCAATAAAAACCAACAAAACGACACAACTCACAGCAGTTTCATACTTTCATTACAATTTACACCCTTCTCTCTCCCCCACGATCTATCTTCTCCCAGTAACCCAACGGTCATATATTCCTTGTAAAAGAAACCCTCCATCGTCAAACCTTTAATCATTACTTCAACTGTTCAACAATGGCTCTGGAACTTTCTTGTTCTGTCCACCTTTTCCTCATCGTCTCCACCACAATCCCCCTATGCGCCACCGCCTTCTCCTGGCCTACCCTCCGCCAACAACAATCACAACCCTACGGCGTCTCAATGAAGCTCTGGTGTGTCGCCAAGAACAACGCCGACGACACCGCCCTTCAATCCGCCCTCGATTGGGCTTGTGGAACCGGTGGAGCCGATTGTGCTCCCATCCAGCAGGGCGGCGGTTGTTACGATCCCGCGGACATCAGAAGAACAGCGTCGTATGCGTTCAACAATTACTGTATCAAGAACGGAATGACGGAAGATACCTGCAATTTCGCCAATACCGCCGCCCTCACTTCCCTTGATCCAAGTAAATTTTCATTTCCCCCTCTTTCTACTTCATGAATCCTGTTTAAAGATTTTAATCGAATCGATCTGATTTTTTCAGGTCACAGCAACTGCAAATTCCCATCGAGGTATGTATCTTTTGATTAACTATCGAATCTTGAAACGAAATTTGAAAAAAGAAGCATTGTAATCCACAAGAATGCCCAGAAAACAGTTTATGGATCTTGATTTGAAATGAAAATTGAAGAATGTGATTGAATTTGAAATTTCAGTTCGGAGGGGAAGAGTGGAGAAGGAACGACGGCGGTAGGCGGAGGCGGAGGAGGAGGCGCATCGACTGCAGATCTTACAAGTAAAGGAGTGAATAATGGTGGTATGTGGTTATGGTGTTTTTGGTTTTTGGTTATAGTTCATTTACTTTGGTTAAATGTTGTTTAGATTTGATTTTGTTTCTATATTTCGTTTCCCCCCTTTGAATGTGTAATTTTGTAAAGCCAAAATGGCTTTATTTTAGGAATTTTGTTAATGAAACTCAACTAGTTTTAAGTTTTAAGTGATTGATTATTACTACTTGTAATTAGAGGTGCTAAGAAAGTATTTTAATGATGCGGGCTGATTTATCCACATAGGTTTTTTTATCTATCCACTGAAAAAATAGTGGATAGACAATTATACCCTCATTTAACTTGAGAGTAAATTACGTAAAACAGATCTGCAAATTATTCTTCTTCCACTTCCTTTTCAGTGATCACGGAAGAGCAGGTCCTCCGGACTCCGGTCACCATCTCCGGTGATCACCTCCTCTAAACTACCACATCCCTCCATCTCCCACCACCACTAACCTCCATCCCTCTCACTCAAAAGTAGAACCTGACCCTCTCTAAACTATCTTCCCCTCTCTTCCCCGATTACCATCTCCGGAAACCACTGATAAGTTGAAGGTCTTTAAGATTGTGTTAGATGACACCCTTGATTATCTTCGTGATTCCATCTCCTCCATGGATGTGAAATACGGTGATAAGTTGCTCAGCCTTAACAAAATCGACGACCTGAAAACATGGTTGAGCACTGATCTTACCAACCAAGATACGTGTTTGGATGCTCCGGAAGAAATGAACTCGACATTTCTTGTAGATGTTAACTCTAAAATGCAGAACTCCACCGAGTACGCCATCAATAGTTTGACAATTGTTTCCAAGATCTCAGGGATATTAGGGAAATTTAATATTCAGATCCACAGGAAAGTGCTGGGTGAGAGGGAATCTAAGTAGACGGAATGGGTGATAGTGAGTTGCAGGTTAGTCGGAGAGATTTGTTTACCGGTTCTTCGGCGGTGTTTTATTGAGTTGTTCCCCGGAGAGGCGGAGATAGTCGTCGCCGATTGCAGGCGAGAGAGAAAGAGAATGGTTGTCGGAGATCGTGATTGGGATCCTACTGTTGAGTGAGAGGGGCGGCGGTTTAGTAGTGGTTTGGAGAAGGTGGGGAGCGGTTAGTTTAGAGCAGGTGGTCGCCGGAGATGGTGACCGGAGCACCTGCTTTACATTGATGGTGGTGGTGAGTGAAAACTAAAAAGAAGTGGAACGGTGGAAGAAGAAGAGTCGCTGAATATTTGCAGATTTGTGTTTCACTTACTCTAAATTAACGAGGGTATAATTGTCCATCTACTAATTTTCCAGTGGATGGATAAAAAAAACTAAGTGGAAATATCAGCACCCTTTAATGAGTGACGACATATTTGCGTTTTAGTTGTGTTGTATTTAATTATTTTTAAACAAATGAAGTTGCAAAAAATTGACGTTCGATTTTTGAGATTGTATAGAAGTAAATAAATATTACGCAGTCACGTTCAATTTTCATCGATGTGTATTCTGAATGATTTTATATAAAACAAGTTTTTTTTTTATTTTCTTTATAAAACACATAAAAGACTTGGAGGATTTTATAATAGACTGAAACTTGTAAATTTATATTTTTTAGGTCTCAAAGTACTGTCCATTTTTGCAATTTTTGTCCTATTTTTTTTTTTTTGGTTATTATTTGAGGTTTTTATAAGCATTTTTTTGTCTATGTTCCAAGACTTTTATTTTAACAAAAATTGTAAAAAGCGACTATTCTTGAAAGTCAAAAGTATTCATTGTATTGGAACATAAAAAAAATCGCCTTTTTTATAAACGTGTTGTTTTTTTGTCTATGTTCCAAGCAATATTACTATTTTTTAAACAAAAATTGCAAAAATCAAATATTCTCGAAAACCAAAAGTATTCATTATAAATTATAAATGGAAAAGAGAAAAAAAAAAGATTCGTAAAAATATCAAATAAAGACCTAAACTTATAGAACAAAGTTGCCGCAAAACCTTGTATTTGTATACCAAGTTTAAAAAAGAAAATCTATCGGGGCCAAAATTATAAAACTAAACTATAACCAAACCAAAAATATGGTTTACTCATAATTTCGTTAAGAAAAATGTTTTGTGAATCTATGTACAAAACTTGGAAAAACCAAAAACCATTTTAAGCATATTTGAAATTCATCGTTGGCCTTTAGATAAAATCTTGGAGGAATATATAATTTATGTGTGTTTGGCAAAACTAATACTAAGCTTGTAGCTTACTGCTATAGTTGTTAGATAAAAGATATACAAACATATTTTTAACACTAATCTTGTAAGTTTATTATAACAAGAAGAAACTTTTTTCCACTTAAATTTTCGATCCATCCATTTAAAAATAATTTAATTTGATTTTTATATTTTTTTTGTTAAACACTATCTGAAATAACTTTTGGATTAAAGATTTTTTGTTTAAAATAAAATCTGAACGAAGTGTGTTTTTTTTTTTCTTAAAAGCTAAAAACAAGAAGTTCTTAAAAACTAAAAGACAAAGGCTCTTAAAAACCATAGGTGGAACAAATCCTTGTATATCTACAAATTTTAGTTTACACTTTTAACAAAACTCTATCATCAAAAATTTTTAAAAAACAAAAAACGATTTCAGATGTGTACAAGGCGTAAACGTAACTTCTAGTTAAAAATTTCAAAGCACAAAACACATGAACATAACTAATAACACCACCAGAAAATAACGCAACTAACCAATAACTTATTAAAACATTAAACCACACATCAAACATACCATAAACAAACAATGGCTCCCATTTCCATTCTTTTAAAAAAACCTTGTTTATGTATTTGTACCCTATCCCTATGCTTTATACTCCAACTAGCCACATCTCACAAACCCGACCCACTGTTACAAAGGTACGAAAAATGGCTCCAAAAGTATGAAAGAGAATACCAAAGTAGAAACGAGTGGCAACAAAGATTTGGAATTTACAAATCTAATGTCCGATTTATCGACTATATCAATTCCCAAAATCTTTCCTACAAACTCACAAACAACAAATACGCAGACATGACAAACGACGAATTTAGCACTTTTTATTTCGGTTATAACGGTCATCAAAATTCAGGTTCGGGTTCGGATTCAGACAAACCTAAACCCGAACCCAAACCCAAACCTAAACCTAAACCTGGTGATTTGCCAGAAAGTGTGGATTGGAGAAAAAGAGGCGCGGTGACTCATGTCAGAGATCAAGGCCATTGCGGTATTATAATTTTTTAATTTTTATTTATCTGTTAAGGGTAAGGGTTTGTTTGGTACGATGTATTGAAATCAAAAAGGAATGGAACGAACAATGTTTTTAAAATAGAACTATAATATATTAAAAATTAATTTGATTGAGTTTTGAATTTTTTAAAAACATTAGCATAATTTGAACTATACAAATAAAAGTAATTCATAATTACAATATCTCATTTTATTCCATTAAATAAAACAAAAACTGTAGGAGCTTGTTGGGCGTTCTCTGCTGTAGCAGCAATCGAAGGCATTAACAAAATCAAAGGAGGCAATTTGACGATTCTATCCGAACAAATGCTTGTGGATTGTGATGTCAACAATGGTGACAAAGGATGTCGCGGGGGTATAATGGAGAAAGCATACACCTTTATAAAAAAGAACGGAGGAATCACTACAGCACAAGATTACCCATATATAGGAAAAGATGAAGGTTGCAAAAAATTGAAAGCTCAAGAACTTTCAGTCATGATAAAAGGATATGAAACTATAAAAAGTAAAGATGAGAAAAGTCTGCAATCTGCAGTTGCAAAGCAACCCGTATCAGTTGCTATAGCTGCAGGGTTTTTATTCCAGCTTTACGGAAGTGGGCTTTATTCGGGTCCGTGTGGGACCCACCTTAACCATGCTGTAACCGTGGTTGGGTTTGGGGAAGAAGATGGAAGAAAGTATTGGATTGTTAAAAATTCATGGGGGACTGATTGGGGTGAAGATGGTTATATGAGAATTGAAAGAGAGAGTAAAGATAAGGGAGGTAAGTGTGGGATTGCAAAAGACTCTACTTACCCTGTACTTATATGATTATATAAAAATCACAAAATAAAATGTAACTATGAATCTATGATTATTATATAAAGACAATGTCTAAGAGTTAAGTTCTGTGAATCTGTTTTTAAGAAAATAAGCAAGCTCCACTTGTCCAGCATCAGCCAACTTTTGAAATACTTTTTGTCTCACTTTTATATGTGGTATAAACCCTTTGTTTGTCATTCTTATAGCAACTTTTCCTGCTAAAACGAATAAATTAGCTTCCAAACACATGTCAACAACTAACTCATAGCTCTCAAACCCAATTTCTAGATTCATTTCTTCAAGAAAATTAACCATTTCAACTGTTTTATCCACTTCTTTGTTTGCTCGCATTGACTTTATCACCTTTACCACCATCTCTTTTCTCGGAGACAATCTATATCTAGATACCATCTCCTTCATCAGCTCTTCAACTTGTTTTGTTTTTTTAAGGTCACAAAGTGGACCAATTACAGAACTAAAGCTGTCCACATCAGCAACACAACCAGCCTTAGCCATACCCTTTAATACTTGAATTGCTTCATCAAACTGATCGACCTTACATAGTGAGGAAATGAGGTAGTTGCAGGTTCCACTATCGGGTTGATATCCAATCGATTTCATTTGAAGTAGAATAGTGGGGACAGTTTGATTGGGTTGTTTTCTTTGATGAAGCCATACACTTGAGAGAAGTAGGTGAGTTTGAGGAACAGGGGAGCAACCTGATCGAAAGGTGCGTTGGAGGATTGCTAGGGAGAGTGGTAGGGGATTAGGGCTTTGTAGGGTGAAAGAGAGGAGGTGAGAATAGGCGACTCGAGGGTGAGAACGAGGTCTTAAAGGGACAAAACTTTGTAGAACTTCATTAATGACTTTGGTTCTATGGTTTTGGGGAAAGTTTAAGAGGAATGAGAATGGATTGGAGGTTTGACTGGTTTTGTTTGAGTCATTGAGAAGGTCAACAATTTGTTGGTAATTTTTGGATTCAATGGCGGATTTGATTGATTGCTCAAGTAACCTTTGTGATGAGATTGAATGGATGGGAGATGAGAAGTAAATGGAGGGGAAAGAAAAAGAATAGAGAGGTTTACATAGTTTTGTCAATGAAATTGCCATGGATTGATAATCAGAGATTCAGAGCCCCAATTTTCTGATGAAATGTGATGTTTTTTGGCAAGTTAGTTAACCCTGTAGATAACAATTTACTATATAAGGTAGTAAATCAAGCTTCACAGAATGAAAAATAAAAAAGAAATAAAATGTGTATGTACATGAGTTGCAAGTATATGTTGTCTATTTAACATAAAAATAACATACAGAAGATGAAATCATATGGTGCTGGTTCAGGCATTTTATCAAGCACTTGATGCTCATATAAAAAAAACACAATCACTATGTTTTAACATCGCTTCAGCTTCACTACCAGAAGAGATTCATAAACAAATAAGAAACGTATAAAACGTGAAATGAAGAATAAAAATGAAGAATAATGTATCAACATTAAACACAGGCCACTTAAAACGTAAAAGGGTAGCAGGTCACATTCTAACCCTAGATCATAGGAGTAAAGGGGCAGTTAACAGCAAAGATTCATCAAAATGAAGAATTGAACAGATAATCTTAATCATTTACCAGCAGATAGAAGAAATAGCTCAAGAAGTTGCAAGAGAAAAATGGACGACGAAGCTCTAAGCCCGAAGATGTTCCCTGATTTTATTGTCTGTTTGAGTAACATGCGCCAAAAAAACATTTTTATATTACAGTGTTTTTACTTTAATCCAATTAATTATATGAACATATAGTTTTGAAATCTGTTCGTGCCAACTGAAAATGATTATTTTTGTGAAATATTATGGTTTTTAACTGAAATCAAATACAATAATTATGGATTATCAACACCCTTATATAATGACATATTTAATAACCATCAACTATCAGGGAGGTCACATAGCAAGTAGTAATACAATCATATACGTAGTCTGCATTTGACCAATTAACGAGGAAACCAGACCAAAATTTCTAATGAACACATAATCAAACAGTTGGTGTGCGAGGATAGTGGCAGAGTATGGTTTCAACAGCAGAAGAAAACTGTAATAGACTCGTACCTGTGAAAATGACAATAACGCCAACAATAAAACCGAGAAATTGGAAGACTGATAATTGCAAGGGTTAGAGCTTGAAGATCGATGGAGAGCCTGAAGGTCGATGTTGGCAGATCGACAAATTGGAAGATTGATGTTGGAGTTTTGGGCTCGATTGCTGATCGATGATGGATAGCGTGACGATCGATTGAGGGTATAATTGTAGCCGGCGGTAAAATGTCAGACGAGGAAGAGGCTTTGCAGAGATGGGAGGAGAGGAGGAGAGGTAAAATAAGGGTATTTTTGTAATTATATCTTAAGACTTGCTTTACCCCAATCGTCTCTTATTTATGTAGGTGCAAAAACAGACGTTTTAATTTTTATTTTTCAAAAATTAATTAGTTTGTTTAAAACTTAGGGATTTTCTAATATGTGCTCTAAAGGCACATATAAGAAATATTAATTAATCATAATTATTATCATAATTAAATGTTAAATACATTAATTATAATAAATATTACCATAATAAATATAAAATTCATTAATAATCTTCATAATTAATGCATTTCATATTTAATTATGGTAATATTTTTTATAATTAATACTTCTTATATGTGCCCTTAGGGCACATATTAGAAAATCCCTAAAACTTATACGCTTCGTCCCTGATATGCGGTTTTGTAACGATTTTAGTCCATGCCATATTTAAAATATTTAAAATGACCATAATACCCTTAGTGTATTTTTTCAAATTTATTTAATGTTATTATTATTAATTTTAATTTAAAAAAATATGGCCACAACCACCCCACCCTCGCCCCGTCTCTTTCCCTGCCATGAAACGAACCACTTCATCACATTCACCGACAATTTCAGAAACATGAAACTCCGACCAAATGCAATAAATATTTTTTGGATGTCATTTGCACAAATCCAAACCCATATCTCCAAAGCCTACACCAAAAATACTCGGAATATGAAGATAGAACATAATCGATTTTGAATTTCGTTTCAGAAATCGTTTTCAAGATCTTGAGTTTCCAGAAATCGTATGTAGATGTTAAAACTCTAACATCTTTCCTTATCGGTCCAAAAATTGTTTGTAGATCTCGAAATCCTAACTTCAGCCATATGTAAAAATCATGGTGGGTGTTGTTCGTTGTTTTTCCTTTTCCATAAATTATGGTGGTAGTCGTTAACGATGTTCTGAAGGAAGATAGGGGTAAAAATAGGTAATCCAGTGGCGATCTAGATGACCTGAGAGAAGAGGGAAACAAAGTAAGTGATGGTCCGTTGGTGGTCCAGATCGCCATAATTGCAAAGAGATTGAGGTGGTTTCTAGTGGAGATGGAGGTTGTTTTCAGTGCAGTTGTCATGATTTCTGTTTCAACAGAACTAAGGCCATTGGCAGGTGGTCAGAATCAAGTGGAGAGAGAGGGATGTTGGAGTCTTGAGAGAGAGGAGTGGGTGAGGGTTTGATGGCGTCGCCGAAAGTGTCTTTGAGCGACGGTGATAAGTGGTGGGTGAGCAGATTTCGATGGCGGCGACTTCATGGTTGCAGAGGATCACTATCAATGGGTAGAGAGGAAAAAAGGGGAAAATGTTATAAGAGGGAAGAGATAAAAAAGGTGAGACCCATAAAATTTAATTAAAATATTTTTTTATTATTAAATTAATCAGAAACATTAAAAAAATTGAAAATGATAATATAGTTATTTTATATTGTTAGAAACTAGGCATGCAACTTTTAATTACACAAGGAATGGTTATAATTAATTTTTAAAAATATGGAATAAAAATCTTTTTGGCACATACACGAAAAATGATTCGTGTAATTTACTCCCTTAAAAACTATGGGGGAAGTGTTTTGCTATTACTTTTTTAACTAGATGAATTCTTAAAATACCAATAAATCAGTTTTCAAACATAAAACCAAATATCCTTTTAATTAAAACAATATAAACTTTAAAATATAAAGTCACCAATAAAGATTATTAAACTTATATTTTATATTTTATTTAACATAGCTTATAAGTAGTTTAATTTTAAAAAAAAAATTATATTCTTATGTTTGGAAAATTAAAATATAGTTTATAAGGTAGTTTTTTAAAAATCTACTTAAGACAAATATTTTAATGAATTTATATAGTTTTTTTTTTAATTATTCCAAGTATATCATTTATTAGTATATAATGATTATTTCTTATTAATATATTTTTATTTCTATTTTTTTGTGATCTAATGAAAGTCATTTATTTTATAATCTGAAACAAAAAATATATGTTAAACTTGGACAACAAATTAATTTAATAAAACAACAATATTAATAAATAAAATATTAATAAATAAGTGTTATCATGTTTTTATATTTTAAGAGTTATTTATTTTTATCATATGTATAATAAAACAATAATAAAAAATTAAAACTATGTTTATCGACAAAAGATATAGATAAAAAAATGTTATTAATATTTTCATGTTATTTTTAATTTTTTATCCACAATGTTTCTAAGTCCATGTTTTTCTTCTCTCAACCATACATCTTATAGTTCTTTAAGATGGTGTTTGGTAGTATAGAGACTGGACGACCGGACAATACTAGATAAAACTTGACAGAATACATGGACAAACTGTTTGTGTAGTGTATGGAACAGAGCTGACTAGAGCAAAACATGTTGTTTGAATGCGTTTAAAGTTACCAAATTACCAAATTGCCCTTATACAAAATAATAAAAACTAAACAACATAATCAACATCACTTCAAAATTAACAAAGTTTTTCGAACAAATCTTTTTCATCTATTAATTTAAATAAATTATAGTTCCGAATCAACATAATTTCAAAATTAGCAATGTTGTTAACCTATACTCTTTGAAATCCCGAATCCCAAAAATAACCAACATCAATTTGCATCTTACATGAATCACAACTTTTAGAGAAATGATGGAATGAAAAAGAAGACCAATGATTGTTATGGTGACAAGTACAATCATGGTTGATTACTTTGGTAAATACTTAACCAAGTATATAAAAAAATTACAGGTATAACAGGGGCAGAGCTACGTAGGAGTCTGGCGTAGCCCAGGCTACCTCTTAAATTTTCAGGCGCAGTGAAATTTTTTTGAGGAAAATTTCAGTGTAGTGTAATTTTCCGGTGTGCTACCCGTAAAATTTATGTGTGCTGCCCTGACATTTTGTTCTAGCTCCGCCACAATTAATAAAGGTCCATGGGTATCTTTGTATTAAAGAGCTCAATACCTCTTGTTGCATGTTTGGAATTGGAATGATTGATAACTAATATATTTGCGGGCTTTGAAACCTCAAACAAATATTGGAATGCTTATTATAATATTCATGATATCAAAAAGGATCCCAAGATAGCAATAACTCTGGAGTTTGTTTTTACTTTGATATTCATATATTCTTGACTAAACACATCGGCAATTTAATTAGTATATATAAATTAACAAATTTCATACAAAATAGAGAACTGAAGCAGAAAAAATACAAGATGTGTTGATGATGAAGGCGATAGAGAGAAGAGACGACAAATCAGAAAAATCTAAAAGATAAATAGACAAGAAAGAAGAGAGGAACGCGAAGATATGATGAGCTTACCAGATGATGGAGGCGAGAAGATAGTTGGTGAAGGAAACAGAAGGATTGTTTTATCAATACAGAACGTACAAAGTTCACTTCCATTGTGTTCCATCTTTTAGTGAGACTAAGGCCCCGTTTGATACACATCTTTCCAGGTGCAAACAGATATTTCTGGCTGAATGGACCGGAAAGACTGTTTGATTTGCACAAAAGAAGGGGTCTTTGCCGGTAAGATATGTCTTTCCCAGAAAACCCCAAAATCATATCTTTCTGGCTGAATGGGCTGGAAATACAATTATACACCAAACTCTGCATCTTTCTTTCTTTATTGGATTATTAATTTTTTTAAATAACTTTTTTTAAATTTATTTTTCATTGAATTATTAATTTTTTTCATCATTCAGCACAGTCAATCAGATGTATAATCAAACAGCATGGTTTCTTTCCCAGTCAGAAAACTTTCCCAGACAGCACTTTAGCAGACAGCACTTTCCCAGACAGAAACTATCAAACGGGACCTAAATCTTTACAAAATAGTTCTACAAACTTTTGTTCAATTTCATCTTTTTGAATGAGACTATTATTTATTTTTATTTTTTTTGAAAAAATAGTCCAATAAAAATTTATCCCATTTTGTTCCATATTTTCTAATGGGACTAAATTTTGAATAAATAGTCCCGTTTGGATTTGCTCAACAGTCCATCTTTTCCGTGTGCTAGTAATGCCAAACACCAACTCAAAAAGCCTTGTTCTATTTTGTCACATTTTGTTCTACTTACCAAACGCAGCCGAAACACAATAACAAATCAAAGACGAGAAATTAATTATTCTCCTACTTTTTGTTCCTATCAATCCTCCTACCCATTTAAATGATGACATGTGTCATATTAGTATACTAAAATATCATTAAATGAGCATTAAATGTTACAAATGTCACTATTTAATTAGGTAGAAGGATTTTTAGGAACAAATAGTAAGAGGATATTTAATTTCTCCAGACAGATCACAAAATATAACATTCGAGAGACATATACACCATACAGGCATACAAGATACTAGGATTGCATGATAATATTATGAAGCTAAAAATTTACTTAAACATAAATAATCAGAAAATAAAATATTTAATATTTTAATTTAAAATATACTTCCTCCGTCCTAAAATTATAGTCCATCTTTCTTTTTTGGTTTGTCCCAAAATAATAGTCCACTTCTAAAAATAAAGAACATTTTTACCAAAATATCCCCTAATTATTATTTAACCAACTAAGCATTTAATGTTCCATTACATGCAAAGTAAGGACAAAACTGTCATTTTATTAAATACAGTTAGTGGTAATTAATGTTTTTTTTAATATGTATATTTTTTGTCTGTGGACAATAATATTGTGACGGAGTGAGTATTAGGTATTTAGGATGGCTAAACCAAATCACCATCACCATAAAACTTATAAATATCTCCTAATTAGGAAATAACGCCGTGTCGCCGCGAAGAGAGCAACTCGTTTCAATGCTATTATTTTGTCTTTGTCTTCACAAATAATATCTAATTATATTATATTATAATTATAAATTATAAATAAATAAACTCTTTGGTTAATTTGCTTCCAAATTTATGATCTTAATCTCGCCTATACACCGTGGCATCAACGTCAAACGAAACTTCAGTCCTCCATAAATATTACATGTAAACAATTTAACTTCAAAAATAACCAAATCCCAATTTCCATTCCATGGGTGATTCACCCCTCTTTATGGGAATCCTCGGTGTCATATCAGGTGCAATTTTAGTAGCTTTTATCCACTGCTTATTTGTCAGTTGCCGCCATAATAATACCGATGAACCCGCCACCACCTCACCACCTAGACCACCAGATATGAACCGTCGTCCAAGGCTCAGAGTTGACCTTGACTCAAGTGCCAGCTCATCATCGTTCCCAACAACCAGCACCTCAACCTCAAGTGGCTCATCGATCTTGTTAACCGTTCATAAATACTCGAAAGATTTTAAGGAAGGAACATGTGCGGTTTGTTTGGGTGAGTTTGAAGAAAATGAGGAAGTTAGAATTATGCCGGAATGTGCACATGTTTTTCACGTAACGTGTATTGACATGTGGCTTTTCTCTCATGGGAATTGTCCACTGTGTAGAGCCAATGCTACTCCACGTGCACAAGATGTTCTTTTATCGATCTTGAATTCTAGAAATATGGAGTAAATGTTTAACCGTGTATATACTTTACTATTTAAGGTTTATGAATATAAAAATCAAATGAGATGTTACAACTTACAACTTACAAAAAAGATCAAATAAGTGAATTGATAAGTTGATTAGCGAGAATTTCTCCTTCTAGATTTGGCACGTTGACGACACAGACAAAGGAAGACTAGAAAACCGATGAGAATCACTTGGACTATTATCATCGCCTTCATACCTGCAATTATTTGAAGGATGCCATTACTAAATTAATAAAAAAACTAATGGGTCATGTCAAGAACTCAAGATCAAAGTTACTAATTTTAGTAATGATTAATGAGCAAAAATGGAAAGTGTTTGTGTTTATGTTGTGTTACCTTGGAGTTTTTGGATTGTGTCTTCACCAATTTGGCTAACTTTTTTCTGTTTAGTGTGAGGAGAATGAGACCCAAATTTATTGATTCTGGAATTGTAATTTATTGTCTTGTATTCGGAATGTCCACCCATGATACATGTATTAGGACAGATGATGCTGCTATCATATTCATCGCTTCCATCACAACAGTCTGGTAATAAAAGATATAAAAAGTTCTTGTAAAATGAAGATGTTTGAAAGAAAAGTGAAAATAGGTAAATAAACCAATGAACATACCACAAATTTGGTCGTTTACACGAGAAGAGAATAAAAATTTAGGAGTGCTTCCTGAATTCCTGCAATAGAATTTGGCAGCAGGGCAAGCTGATGTTCCTGCAGATCATAAGAGCTTTGGAATTAGAATTGAAGCTTATTCGATTCTAGCTTCAAGATTCTTTAAGTAACAGTTCTCGTCATCATCTTAATCAGAAGTTCAGAACCAGAAGATTAGGTGAACATAAAAGCGAAACCCCAATTCACCAATCACCACTACCTTTACCAAACAAAATTAAAATATGATTTCAGCAGTATTGTATGTGGGTCAATTGTTGTGAAGTTAACGTAATCACCAATGTATTCTCGGAATCATTGAATTTGAGATCAATTTGAGTGGAAAAGAACTTGATCGACGATTAATGTCCAAGTGTATGTTTTTGTGGTGAAAGGAGGGGTCAATTAGGGTTTGAAATTTGAACAATACCTGGTTCATCGGTACCATCAACGCAGTCGCAAAATTCGTCGTTGATACGATCTCTAGTGAAAGAATTGGATCCATCTTTGCATTTGATGACCTCCGAAGCAAAGTACTTCTCATCTGTCAAACAAAGAGTCAAAATTAACTTAAAAATCAGCAACACATTATATAGAAAGAACACGCGCACACGCAGATAACCTAGAGGGTGGATTCCGAGAGGTACATTTGAAGGATCGGAGAAAGCCAAATTGAGATTGAGAAGGAAGCAGACGATGAAGAAAAACACAAGATTAGTTGATTCCATTGGAGCCGGGGGACGATTTTGAGTGGTTTTACTCGTTCTTTTAGTTATCTCCGGTTCTCCACCTTCGAGTCTCCGATTGAGTCAACGAATGTCATCGTTATTCCTACTTAAAAATATGTTATGCATTTGAAGTTTGGGATAATGACTTAAAAAGATTAATACATTTTTTGATTAAACAATCTGTCCATTGATTTTTTTTTTCGTCTATATTTATCCCCCTTCAACTTGTTAAACTGTACACATTCAGTTCTTATGATCGGTTATTCCAGGTTAACCGGGAAAAATAACTTAATATGGTAATATATTTCTCATTTTGTATACATTTAGTCCTTAATATTTTTTTTTTCAAAATCAGTCATTTTTGTTTTTGTACTCATTTAATACTTATGAACGATTTCTTTAGGTTTTCTCATGACATTTTACGTGAGACAATCATTGATGCGTTGTTTGGGGTTGTTGATGTGTATGTCCATCGCGATCTCGACTGTTTGGTTGCGTAGGTCTTGTGGTTTGGCTTAGGTCTTATGTTTTGAACGTCGTAACTTCTTCACACGATATCAAATTTTAACGATCTTTATATTCACGTGTTTGTTTTTTGAGTCTAGTACAACTTTCGTTAATATTACTCCTGTTAAAATGTAATATATTTTTACTTACGATTTCATTAAAAAAACACACATACATGCATTCATAAAAAAAACGTATGGATAGAAATATCGTAAGTAAAAATATATTACTTTTTAACTGGAGTAATATAAACAAAAGTTATATTAAACTAAAATACGAAAACATGGATATAAAGATCGTTAAAATCCAAAATCATATGAAGAAGTTATGACGTTCAGAACATATGACCTAAGCAACCAAGTAGTCGATATCATGATGGACATAAGCATCAAAAGCCCCAAACACCACATTAATGATTGTCTCATGTAAGATGTAATGAGAAAAACATAAAAAAAATCATTCATAAGTACTGAATGAGTACAAAAACCAAAATGTCTTATTTTACAACTAAAAAAATATTAATGACTAAATCTGTACAAAAATATTAAGGATTAAATGTCTACAAAGTGAGAAATATATTACCCTATTAAGTCGTTTTTACCGGCTAACCTGGAGTAGCCGGTCATAAAGACTAAATGTGTACAATTTAACAAGTTGAAGGGGTAATTGTGGACGAAAAAAACTCAGGGACCAAATGTGTACAAATCGAAAAACATAATACCATTTTAAGTCATTATCCCTTGAAAATTTTCTTTTACATGTTTTATCATTATTTTTTCGGAACGAATTATTGAAATCGTCCTTATTATGGTTTATCAAAATTGTGAGTTTAGTTCTTAACATTTTTTTACACTCAGGTCGTCGCTATCATTCTCTTGTGTTTTTAGTCCATTTTATAGATAAAAAAGACTATATAACCCTTTGTGTTTTGTTTTTCAGTTTTATATTATTTATTAATTACAGAAATAAAAACAAAAAGACTAAATAAGAGGCTGTTTGACAGTTACTGATTGAGTCATATCTGACTGAGTTAGAAATCTGACTGGCTGTGAAGCTGACTGAGCTGACTGAAACCATGATGTTTGATTATAGGTCTGATTGATTGTACTGAATAAAAAAATGATCATTTTATCCCTAAATTTACAATGCATAATTTTGTCACTGTTGTCATTCTTTTAATAAATTTATCATTTATTTATTTTAATAATTAACTATTAACCAAAAGCAAAACACGTGAAACTTCAAAGTCCATCCCACCTAATAGATATTTATTTCATTTTCTCATCTTTCTTTAATATATAGGAAGTAGGAACTTAAACCAAAAACTTATCTGCCGACAATACACCGCCGAATATACATACCTCAGCTTCAAAGCCCATCCCACCTAAACCAAAAAAACTATTGTCCCTACTCTCGTTGTGGTATATATATCATCGATTCAAACAAAGAACAAATTTGGATTTGAGTTTCAATTTTACAGGTTTGATTTCTGATGAAGATCCAAACATTTTTTTTCGATTTTGGGGATTTTTGGTATGTATTATCATCGAGGAAGACAGAAATCTAAACTACTCCCATTGCTGAAACTCTCAACGACATCGACCTGAGTCCAGGATCTCAAGACGACGATATGGTGTTCTCCGATTTTAGATATGTCAGAAATTGTATTTTTCTTTAGATGAGTCAAAGCCTTCATAGTGTTTTCAGGAATTTGGTGTTCCTTGTGGTTGCAGTGATGCCAGAAACTTCATCCCTTTAGATTTTGATTTTTGTTAGCAGAGTCGATGGGTAAATTAGGGGGCAAAGCATGTCTTTTTTCTTCATTTAGTCGGTCAGCTTTCTTTTTTGGATGGACCGAGTCAGCCATTTTTATGGACCAAGTCAATGCAATTTCTTGGGTCATATACAAATCAAACATTCTGACCGGACCAAGTCAGACAAAAACGTCTGACCGGACCCAATCAGCACCAAATCAAACAGCCCTAAGTAATAAAAATGTGGGGCCTACTCTAACACACACCACATTATTCTTCCTCCACACATCATACCCATTTTTAAGAACTCATTGACGACATACACACCTCCTATTACCGCTTTTCCGGTGAGCACCCCACAATCCTCTTCACCCACCTTCCCCCTCTCCCTTCCACTATCCCATTCCCCCCTTCTCGGCTAGAACCGTTCGCCATCACTTAACACTCAAAAATGAAGAAGAAGATGGATATCTAATGACTTGCAAGTTGACGGCGCCGAAAACCTACATCTGAGTCTATAGCCGCCGCCGAAGTTTGCATCTACTCCTCTTTAGGCTGAAGGGTGTGGCCGCAGCCTGGGACCGCGGTTTGTGCCACCTGGACCGCGCATGTTAGGATCGAGACACTTAACACACGACTCTAAACACACACACAGCTCACGAAAAACAAGAACACAATGATGAACACGAGGGATTTAACGTGGTTCGGTCCTTCTCTGACCTACGTCCACCGGTAACTAGGAATTTATATTTCTTGGTGCTAATCTGCACTCTTTCTGTGTTACTCTAGATACAAGTTTTACAAATACAGATGAATCTCTTATATAGAGATGGAAATCAGAAGTAGTCAAAAAACACAACCGGGTCTTCAGCCAACCTTTGAAAAAACTTCACATTCAACAATTGTGGCTTCACGTTCAACAATTGTGGCTTCACATTCAACAATCTCCCACTTGAAGCCACAGAACAATCTTCACCTGTGCTTCAACTGTGCATCTGTATTTTAAAAAATTTGATCTTAACTCCTTCCTAGTTACCCGGCCTTCTCTTCAATTTACCTGTTCTCTGTCTCCACCGGCTCCCACTGAAATGAACTGCCCGATCCTGGAACATCTTGAGAACAAACGACACTCTCCATGTGAAGCAGATAATCTGGAGAGACTTTTACAGATGGAATACTGGTTCTCTTAACCCACTGTGTTCTGGGTATTCTAGCTGAAACAAAGCCCATGCTCCCACTGCTATGAATGCCCTTGACTGGTTTTTCTGAACCGTTCCAAACACGTTCAACCTGAATCTGACCTGTGACTCTGGGTTTGCCATCTGCAAAGCAAACCTTCTTCTGTCCACGGGACTCTATGAACCGGATTTTGTTTTTCTTCTGAACTGGGACGGTTACTCCCTCAGACGGTAAACTGACCATATATAATGAACTCCTCTTATGTCCACGAGCTATCACAAGATTTCCTTTGACAACCTTCCACTGCCCATTCCTGAACTTAACCTCGTGTCCCTATTCATCCAACTGCCCAACAGAAATCAACTGTTTCTTCAGACTTGGAATTACCCGGACATCCTTCAAAGTCCATGGACTGACTGGAGTCTTCAGATCTAAGTCACCTATGCTCGTCACATCAAGAACCTCATCGTTCGCCAGTCTTACCTTACCAAAATCCCCTTCTTTCAGATTCCGCAGTGCTTCACGGATGTGGGTAGCGTGAAATGAAGCACCCGAATCCATAACCCAGGAATCCACATTGCTCTCCACACTACAGATCAAAACATCATCATCTGAATGGTCTACTGCAACGTTAACTTCTTTCTTGTCTTTTGGACATTGATTCCTGAAATGTCCAACCTCTTTACAGTTCCAACAAGTCACATCATTTCGAGTCCTCGACTGACTCCTTCTCCTGTTCCCGCTCCCACTACCTTTGTTATTTCTTCTACCTCTGACCGCATTCAATTTTTCACTTGATGATTCCCCGGAATTTCTTCGTCTGACGTCTTCTCCTAGAATTAAATCCCGAATTCCCTCAAAAGTGAGCTCTTTCGATCCTGCGGAACTAGTAACGGCTGTAACTGTTCCGGACCAACTGTCAGGTAATGATGATAACAATAGTAAAGCTTGAACTTCGTCCTCAAATTTTATTCCCACTGACCCAAGTCTGGATAAAATCGAGTTCAAATTGTTGATGTGTACTGTAACTGAACTTCCTTCCCTCATCCTCGTGTTGACTAGTTCCCGAATCAGGAAGACTTTATTTGCTGCCGACGGCTTCTCGTACATATTAGACAATGCCTCCATGATTCCCTTTGCCGAGGTCTCCTTCAAAATATTGAAGGCAACATCCTTTGACAACGTCAGTCTAATAAATGCCTTGGCCTTCTTATCCAAAGTCTCCCAGTTTGCCTGTGTCATCGCCTCCGGTTTTTCACCTAAAACTGCGTCCAAGTCTTTCTGTACGAGCAAATCTTCAATTTGCATCTTCCACCAACCAATATCAAACTTCTCAATCTGAAGCTTACTGCTTTCTGCCATTTTCTGAAAGAACAATGACCTATCTTGCAATTTTCTGGAAATTCAGGGGCCAAATTGCAAATTTTCAAATCTGCTACAGTGTTGCTACAGTGCCTGCTACAGTGTCTGCTGACGTCGTGCTACAGTTCCTGCTACAGTGTCGTCTTCTCCGGCGGACTGCTACAGTGTCTGGTGCTACAGTGTCGTCTTCTCCGGCGAACTGGTTTTCCCGGTCACTATTCCGGCAAACCTTTGACCGGCGATTTGGACGTCTTCCGGTGGTCAAAAAATTCAGAAAAAAATATTTTCGG